GCGGGGACAGTGGGGAGAACGCAGGAGGGACTGACCTCACGACAGAATTGTGCCCTCATCTGATCAGAGAGGGGGCTGAAGGGAAAAGGCCACCGCCTGGCAACGTATCCCACCCCTCATCCCTTCCCCAAGTGTTGGGCCAACTGCCTGGGGCTCCCAGGGTGGAGGACGGGGCCCCTGCCCTCGCCAAGGATCTGAGCCTTACCCAAATCCTTGGGGACTGGTTTCACCCCAGTCACCGCCTGGGCGTTCTGGCTGCGAGCCATGGCGCAGGGCGGGCGCCAGGCGTAGTCGGGCTGCAGGAGGAGAAGAAACAGAAATGGCAAATTACCAGGGATGTGAATCGACTGCCAGGGTGAGAGGAGGAGGAGGGGGAGGAAGAGGGCCGAGCGTTCACGTGCCAACAGGACCTGTGTACTCAGCTCCCTGCCCAGTGGCTCGGGGGGAGCCACTCGCTTGGCAGCCCCCAGACTCGCTTGCACAGGACCCTCGTGCTGGCAGGGGTAGACACTCACCGGGGGAAAATTGTGGAAGTTTTGTCCTGGCGTGTGCTCGCCTGGCATCGCTGGCGGGTATCGGATCTGCTGCCACTCGTCGAAGCCGTGGTACATGGGGTGAGGCACAGGGGGGCTGTACTGGTACTGGTACATGGGGCAGGCAGGGCCCAGTGGCTCAGCATGCAGCCTCTCCCCAGAAGCCTGCGAGGAGCCGAGGGAGATGCTGGGGAGTGCCGAGAGGGCAGCCCACCACCACCCCCACCATCGCCTGGCTCAGAGCTGCCCCTCCAACAGGGGATGAGGGGCTGGGGCCAGGCCTGCAGCCCCCAGCCCCTCCACCTGGGAAGGGTTCTTCCCCTGTCCGCACCTGTTTGTGCTGTTTCAGCAGCTTCTTCAGCTTCTCCTTCTCCCTCTGGCAGTCATCCTTCGAGGCCCGCAGCTGGGAGCAAGGTGGGGGGGGTTAGTGCACAGCCCACCCCACCAAGCCCCTTGTCCGTGAGGCAGGGGATGCTGCAATGCCCTGCGGGAATGCCCACACCGGTCCACCCCCTCCCTGCCATCAGACTTCCAGGAGAGGGGCAGGAGGAAGAGAAGAGTGAAAGGAGATGCTCTAGCAGTGATGAGCAGCAGCAAAACCACCACTCCAGCCCTGCTGTCCTGCCTCAGCCCCTGCTCTGAGATGGGTACAGGGACCATGACACAGGGGACAAGTACCTCTGATGTAGCTGGGGGGGACGTGGGGCTCCTGGGGTGCCCTGCGTTGCTCACCTGGTTGTTGGAGAGGACCAACTGCTTCTGCAGCTTCTCCAGCTGCTGCTTCAGCTCTTCCTTCTCCTCATTCATCCTCTCCCTGTCACTCCGCTCCCGCTGGAAGTCCTCCTCGAAAATTTTCACCTGGCAGGAGGGAGGGGCGTGAGTGCACCTGGCTGAGGGCAGATACCTGTCCCCCAAGCACCCTCGTTCGCTGCGTTGCAATCCTTGACCCCACCAACTACACCAAGCCCCAGGCAGGTAGGTTGACATGGTAGCTGTGGTTGGTCCAGCTCAAGGTCTCATAGATGATGAACTCAGTCCCCGCTCCCCAACACTGTGGCACAGACATCTGGCTAGGGATGCTGGGCTGCTCCCGGCCACACTGGGCTCTTTGCTGGGGGGTCCCAGGGCATGTAGCTCCCTCCCCACCTCTCCAGGAGAAAGAGCCATGCCATCCTGCCCTACCTGCTGCTTGAGGAGCTCATTCTGGGTCAGCAGCTCCTGCTGCGGCACCTTCCCGGCTGGCTCCATGGCACTGGCAAAGATGGGTGGTGGTGAGGCCTGGACATTCAGGGCCTCCTCTAGTGCCTGGAGAGGAAGAGGAGGAGCAGGGAGGGGGGTCAGAGCAAGGTGCTTTGCCCATGACATCTCCAGAGAGCCACAGGCACATGCCCAGCATGAGAAGCAGGTATAACTGGGAAGAGCAAGAAGGATCACAGATCCCCCCAGGCCCCCTTTCCTGGGAGCCTATGGAGATGTCGTGGGCACCATCTGACACAAGCTGCCCCCTGGGCAAAGATCTGGGGCAGGAAGGAGTTGATCAGGGTCAGTTTTAGATTTGAGAAAGGAGAAGGGGCTAGAGAACATAAAAGACATTTTGCAGGGAGGGGTTGTGCCCTGGCCCCCACCTTGTTCAGCCTCTGGATCTCCTTCTCCTGGTACTCCCGCTGCCTGGTGACTGGAGCCAGCTGCTCCTGCAGGAATCGCATCCTCTGCTGCAGGTCCCTCACCTCCATGGCCAGCCTCTCCTTCTCTGCCTGCAGGACCCAGGAGATGGGAGATCAGCCAGGGCAGGGCGATGGGGCCAGCAGCTCCCCACCACCCCTTCCCGAGGGACTTGCCTCCTCTGTTTCAATCCGGGACTTGGCCAGGAGCAGCTTGCGGTCGAAATCCCGTTGCTTTTGCTCCCGCTCAGACTCCAGTTCGGTCAATGCCCTGCGGGCCTCAGCCAGCTCTTCCTGCGGGTCCGTGACCTGCCGGGAGGGAGCAGGGATGTTGATCTGCCTGGAAGGACCCACACCGAGGAGGGAAGGAGGTGCAGACAGCCCCAAAACCTTCCCCCACAGCCAGTCTCCTCCAAGTCTCCCAGCTGGCACCCAGCAGACATGGCCCCTGAGCACCCAGCTCTGGTCACCTGGCCTTACCTTCTGCTCGTACTTCTGCTTCGTGGCTCGGAAGTGCTGATCCCATTGCTTATTCACCTCCAGCAGCTGTGGGGAGAGAGGGATGGCTGAATGGGAGCCCAACCCCTGCCCCGAGCCAGCCACGGCAGTCCCCAGCAGCCTCCCATCCTGAAAGCACCTTGGGGATCAGCTGGATGGAGATCCCGGCTCCAGTGGCACTTCCCTGTGGCTCTGCACCCCTGTCCCCACTCCCACCCTGCTCCTGCCAGCGCCTCCCACCCAGTCTGGTCCTCACCTCCCTGCGCTGGTGCTCCAGGATCTTCACCTTCTTCTCCTTGGCCTCCAGCTCTCCTCTGCCCGGCGCCTTCTCCGCCGCGGCCCCGCTCTGCTGGACGCGCACGGGGTGGGGGGACGATGGGGACCCTCAGGGCTTTTGCAGAGGCTGTGCCCGAGGCCGGCTAAACACAAGCCAGTTCCCTTCCCACAGCCTCCCCCACCCCCTCCCGACCATGAGACTGGGACAAACTGGGGGCTTGATTAAAAAGATGCCACATTTGCTGACATGTCAGCGGGCTCCTTGCCTCCCTGCCAGCCCTCTCCAAGGGTTACACTGCCTCCTCACCTGCTGCTGCTCACCAACTTCCCTCTTCCCACTGTCCTGGCTGCTCAGCGTCACCATCCT